TAAATTTAAATTAATTTAATTTAAATTTATTTATTAATATTAAAATAAATTAAAACCTAGCTATTATATTATTATTTGGATTTAAAAATTAGAAACTTAAAATCTAGCTCTAAAGTATAGCAGAAATTTAAAACTAAAACACTATGAATTAAATAAATATTTTATTATTTATTAAAATAAATAATTACAAAATCTGAAATTTAAAACATTTAAAATTTAGTTTCAGAGGAACATTTAAGGCTGAGATTTTAAATACTTATAAATTAGCTCTAAAGTATAACCTATACTTTAGAGCTAAAAAACTATAAATAATAATATAATTTGAGATTAAAAGCACTTATGATCTAGCTCCAAAGCATCGCTTGAATCTAAGATCTAGAAAGCTAAGCTAAAAAACTATAAATTAAATATTATATTATTTTTTAACTAAATAATTACAGAATCTGAGATTAAAAATACTTAAGGCCTAGTCTCAGAGCAATACCCAGGCCTGAGATCTAGATTAATTAAAGTCTATTCTTAGAGTAACATCTAGATCTGAGATTTAGATTAAATAAGGTCTATTTTTGAAGCAATGTCTGGATCTGAGACCTAGTCAAAATAGGTATATTACACTTTGTGTATAATGCTATGTAAGAAATTAATAATCTGATATTTACTATTTACATTCCATATATTCTGCATAAGTGGAATGTAAATAGTAAATTGATTTTTTTTTATCCATCTAACTGACTTTTAATTTCTTGCATAAGCGTCACGCACAAAGTATAATATACAATTTTTTAGTTAATATCGTATTTAGTATTTAGTATCATATTTAGTATATATATAACAAATGTGATATAGCATGTGATTTGATGATTTGAATTTGTAATCCGCATTCATAATCTGTATTTGTAATCAGTATTTGTAATTATTAATGATAATTAATAATTATTATTATTAATTAATAATTATTAATAATTATTATTAATCATTATTATTAATTAATAATTATTAATAATTAATAATCATTATTAATAATAATTATTAATAATGATTATATAATAATTATTAATTATTATTATTAATTAAATATTACTATTTATTACCACTGGTGATTATCACCAGTATTATGTAATAACAGATAATTGTATATCATGTGATAATGTATTAGTAATAATCGCATTAGTAATAATCGCATTAGTAATAATCATATTAGTAATAATCGCATTAGTAATAATCTAACAATAGTTTTTCAAATTCACGTTAAACTTTGTCTCTTGTTACATTAGAATGCATTTGATTTTAGTTGTTATTAATCCTAGCAAAGACATTTTTTACTTATTTTGAGCGACACTTTTAGGGTTGCAACAGCCAACCAGCTATTGTCTCTTATTAGATCCTTTGCCTTCGTTGAATTCAAGGTATGTAAGGCTTTTATTAACTATTAGCTGCTATTAATTTCATACATTTTTCAATATGCAACAATATAACTTATTTTAGTGGTTTTTTAGTTAGTAAAAAATACCAACTAGGCCTTTTTTTTCTTTATATTTTAATGCATTAACGAATAAAAAAAGGGAAGCAAGTAATTTTCAATAGATTTGAGAACGACTTTTCTGGTCCTACGAATTATGAGCTAAAAAGTTTTTTTCCTGATGTTCTTGGTTTCAAGATTGGAACTGTTTTTGGTGCCAGTAGTTTTGAGTTGCCACCTAGTTCAGTAACTTTGAATTCCACAATTTCTGGTCCTGTAAATTCTGAATTATGTGGTTCTGTAGGTGTGAATTGCCATACAATCCTGTGAATTCTGAATTATATAGTTCTGTAGATGTTGTGAATCTAGAGTATAATAATTTCAAGTTATGTGGTTCTGTGAATGTTGAATTGTCACTTAATCTTGAGCCTAGTTCTGTAAATATTGAATTGCTGTTTAATCTTGTGCTTGGTTCTGTTGATATTGAATTGCCATCTGATCTTGTGTTTAGTTCTGTGAATGTTAAATCACTGCCTTGTCTTGTGAATCCAGAATATGATAGTACTTGGTCTGGTTCTGAAGATTTTGAGCTGTCTGGTTTTAAGGACTTTGAGATAAATAGTAATTTGCCTAGTTCTGTAAATTTTGGGTTTGCAAGTTCTGAGTCTGTTAGTAATTTACTTGGTTTTGTGAATTCTGAGTTCACTAATAATTTGCCTAGTTTTGAAGGTTCTGGGCTTGATATTAGTATAAATGCTGACATCAATCAAATGATTCAATATAATACAACTGAAATAAAATTACAAGTAAGAGATTTCTTTGATGATTGGAACACTGTACAATGTGTAGTTGATGCTTATTCAAAGCAACACAGTTTTGTAGCTATTAAGTGTTACAAAGACCTTGATCTTGTTGATAAGTCTATTATTCGATGCTGTAATTATGCTTGTTGAAAATCAGGTGTGAACAGACCAAAAAAAGTAGAGAATATTGATGAACATCGTAATGGTGTTTCTGGTAAAACTGATTGTTCATGGCTAGTTCACTTTTATTTTGGTAAATGTGCGAAGGCTATAAATATTACTAGCATAGTAGATAAACACAATCATATTTGTGATCTGAACACTATAAAATTGGCTTCAAAGCATTTACAATTTTTACCAACAATTTTAGACAGAATTAAGAACTATACCATTGTTGGTCAGCTTAGTGCTAACCAACAATTTGACCTTCTTGTAAAAGAATTTCTCCAATATCAAATAAAAAAAAAGAACCTGTATAATGCTATCAGTAAATTTCGAGGTATAAGGATTCATGATGAATCTGATACTGCTACAATATTGCAACATCTTCTTAATTTAAAAGAACAAGACCAAGAATATGTGGTTATTCCATGTATAGAGGGTAAATTTAATGAATTGATGGGTTTATTCTGGATGAGTAGTCAACAGAGAAATGAACTCTGGCCCAAGTTTTATGACATTATCATTCATGACAATACAGCCAAGACAAATTGGTATGAAATGGCTCTTAGTCTATTTATTGAAGTTGATAATAACGTTAAATCAAGAATTCTTGCATAAGCTTTAATAAAGTATGAAATGCAAGTTGATTACGATTGAATCTTGCAATGTACATTGGAAGCAACCAATAACTTGTTTCCTGTAGTTTTGTTTAGTGATAGAGATCCAGTGATAATCGTGGCTGTACAGGTTATATACCTACAAACACACCATTTTTTGTGCATTTATCACATTGGTGATAAAATCAAAAAGAAAGCCAAATCGAAACTTCATGATGATGTGGCTAAAAATTTTGTTGAAGATTTTTACTATATAAGAAATAGTTGCACCCAAGAACTTTTTGAATTAAAATACTAGCACATACTTACAAAGTATGAACTCTGTTGCTCATATCTTGAAACAAAGCTTTATCCAATCATGAGGCTTGGGCAAGATATTCTATATTAAAAGTGTTTATAGCTGGCACTGAGTCAACACAAAAGGTGAAGTCAATAAATGGTGTTCTTAAGAAACACATTGATCAAGGTACCTTGTTGAAGGAACTAATAAAAGCAATCAAACAAGAATTAGAAAAAGAAGCCAGTTATAATTATATCAGAGATTATTATGAATCTAATCTATCATCTGGCTTACTGTCTACTTACAATACCATTTTCAAGGCTATTGATTTGGTATTGGCTGAACATTTGACACCTATTTCACTCTTACTTCACAAGCCCAGATGAATCAGTCATTATTATACCAAGAAATTTTGACTACAATTGAACAGGCAAGTATCTAATTTTACTTGTATCTTACTAATAAATATTGACATTAAATTCTATAGATAATTTTACTAATAAATACTGATATTAAATTCTATGGATAGGTTAAGGAGTCCAATATTGAAGTTGATCGTGCAATTGAACATCTTTATGATGTATCTCAAATTTAATTAAGTGAACTTTTATTAGATATATCAAATGAGGAAGTACAAGAAATTTGGAAGATTTTTTATATTGCAGCAACTTCAGCATCCAAATCATATTATGTCATAATTCTTAAGAATTCAACATTGCTTTGTATATGTATGCAAATAATAAATTTAAGAATGCCATGCCATCATCAATATCGAATTTTTATTCAATCACCTAATGCAATTTTTTATTTGGGGCTTATTCATACTCATTGGTTTAAATTAATTCTATCTGAAATAAAGCATGTTATAATATCTCAAAGAATCAAAACTTTCATGTCTACACCATTATACCATATTAATCAAATTCAAACTGCTAATGTATATATGCCAACTATTAAAGAATGCATTGATAAAAAGGTTCAATTTGGTACTACGATGTCACTAGCCAAGACTAGTGTTCAAATTGCAATATCAGAGAGAGTTGCAGCAGAATTAGTCAGAGTTTTAACCCAATTTATAACAAAATATCATTGCAATACTGGTTTGGGCATACGAGAAACTCATAGTATACAAAATGAAGATATGCAAACAAATGCCTCTACTAGTGAAATTGAATCTAATAACCAACAACCTCTAATTAACTCAGGTTCTTGCTTTAATATTACTGAAGTTTTTAATCCAGAATATCACAAGCCAAGAAGTCATCCCCAAAACGATTGAAATCGTATATTGAAGAAGATAAAGAAAATGCTAAGCAACATTCTAATTATGAACAAAGAATGTGCAGCTACTGTCTTGGTAAAGGTCATAATATTTGTGAATGTGCTTAACATAAGGCTGATATAGTTAACAAAAAAATCATTAAATTAAGCCAAAATAAATATCACACATATTTTTGTGTATCTTGCATGCTTTAATTAATCTAATTTACTTGTGCTTGTGATTGTAAAATTTATTGTTCTAAATTAGTATATATACAAATTCTGTTACTCATACCATATTTGTCTACTGTAATTTTATCATTCTGTATTAAGTTTGGACCAGTTTTATTTTCATATATTAACCCGAGTTTAACATATAAAAAAATAAAACTAAATAAGTTCTGTCCCTTAAAGGGTTTGCAGGCAAATTTGCCACAAATTTTTGATCAAAATCATTTTTGACAACTTATATAAGTAATAATGTGCCTCTATTATAATTACTACTTACCAAGAGCTTTTAACTAATGTTACTTTTAACTAATATTGCTTTTAACTATATCACTTTTAACTAATACAAATAGCATCTTATTTTTATTTTTCTTTAGCATAGTGATACCACCTCAGTAAAAGGTCAAATTGCAATTTGTTACTAGGTGTGTCATTTATACTTGTTGATAATCGATTTAAAGTTCTGATTATAGTTGCTGTCCAAATAATTATAACTATTATAGTTCTGATACTAACAATATTAAATGGCATGTCCATAATATAATTAGGTTATTTAAGCATATCACTTTAACAGAATTGTATCCTAAATTGGAATTATCTTAATTCAGAATCAGAACAGTTCCAGATAAGTGAATAATTAGAACTTTAGGATTAGTGTTAGGGTTAGAATTAAAATTCTTATCTGAAACTGTTCTGATTCTGTATTTGGATAATTCCAATATATATATCTATAGTATAGCACAAATTTAGAGTTAAGAAGCTAAAATTTATAGTAAAAGAGAGATGTTATTATAACTGTTAGTGCTTATATATGCACATACATATGTAGCTGTTTGTTTTTTTCATCATTTCTACTTTAGGCTTCATATTTGGTTAGTTTAGAATATACATTGTTAATAAACTGTCATCTGTGTTATATTATTAGCTACCCCAGTAAGACTATGAAAGATCATCATATATGCACCAATCAGATTTTTTTGAATGATCATCACCAATAAGATTACAGATTAGGTATAACATGAAAATCATGCTTTTTTAAAAAAACAAGCGATAACTAAAATTTTGACTATAAAACCACTTTTACTCTAATAAAAAAAATTTCTCATAGAATTTTGGTATAGAGCATGCATACTATAATCTTAATACCAACCTTAACATGAGGTTTTAGTACTTTAAAATATTACGCATATTAAAGTTGTTTTGATTATTCAAAAAGATCTGATTAGTACATATACAACGATCTTTCATAGTTTCGCTTATATTATTCAAAGCATAGTAGGTATAGAGTTTGGAACTGGGTTTATTTTCATATATTAAACCAGTTTTAATCGGGTTTAATATATAAAATAAACCCAGTTCCAAACTTATATAGTTTAGTTGTTCCATTGTCTACCCACGTGACATCAATCATTATATATATATATATTATATATATTACTGTATATATTTGCATTATCTGTTTACTAATTTGTATTACACTGGTGATAATCACAGTGGCGATAAATAGCAAACTCCTTATTAATTAATAATTATTAATAATTATTATTATTTTTTTTTTTTTGGTATTAAGGTGAGATTTTGCCTTTATCTTTATTAATAATTTGTTATGGGCAACTATATGAGTTGACACAGGCCGGAGCCAATTTACAAATT